GCCGAGGAAGAGGCGCAAGCCGCACCTAGCGCCTCCGGAATGGATGCCGCCAAAGAATTGATCGGAGCGGAAAAGTCACGCAAGTCTGGCAGCAAGGGCAAAGGCGATGCGAATGTGGATAAGGAAAAGAAGTCGAGAAAGGGCAAAAAGGAGAAAAAGGCGAGCATCAAGATTCCCGCAATGGCCATGGATGGTGATGAGGAGGAGCAGGATTTTGAGGAGGCCGGTGCCGCAGATGAGGCCGGCGATGATCTTCGATCTGCAGCGCAAATAGTCGTCGATGCGGCAGACGACCTACACGTAGCTGTAAGCGATTCGCACGAGCGTTCTGCGCTTGACACTGAGAGCGATGCAGCGGGCGAGGCAGAGGATGCAGAGGTGGAAGCTATATCTCACAAGGAGCAGCGCAAGAGGCGGAAGCTGGAAAAGGCGGCCGCAAAGGCTGGCACTGGAGGGAGTGCAGACTCTGTTCCGCTGGCAACAGAGCCAAAAGCGCCAGCACGAAGCGGCTTTAGTCTCTGGATTGGCAACCTCAGCTTTCGAACGTCCGAAGCTCGGCTGAAAGAGTGGCTGGAGGAAGGTGGCATCACTGGCATTTCACGCATACACATGCCTTCTGGACAAAAAAAGATGGAACACAACAAAGGGTGAGTGACACGAGTCTGCATGTTGCACAATTTGTACATTCTTCTCATCTTTTGCTACCCTCCAAAACTGCTTGGTCAATAGCTATGCTTATGCCGATGTACCGGACGCCGACATTGTGCAAGCGGGAATTGCTCTTTCGGAAGGGCATCTTGACGGTCGGCGATTGCTCATCAAGTCTGGCTCCGACTATACCGGCAGACCTGCATTGAATCCTTCTGCAGTGGCATTCGCAACCACCCAGCCCGAGGGAGACGCTGGAGATGGTAATGTGAAAGCAACAAGCGGTAGCCGTGGAAGGACTGGTTTGACAAAGACTGCGCAAAAGATTCTCAGAGCGCAGAGGAATGCGCCTTGCGAGACTCTGTTCGTGGGCAATTTGTCGTTTGCTACCACGGAGACCAGCTTACGGGAGCTTGTAGAGGGAGCAGCCCAGGCTCGGCAGGAGCGCGCTCCAAAGGAACCGCTGGCCGGCGACGCAAGTGATGAAGCAAAGACAAAAGCGGACCATGACGACGCCTCGAATGAGTCACGAGCTGACGCAGAAGATGCCCCTGCCAAAGAGGACACTCGAAAAAGAAAGAGAGAGCAACCTGCGCGCCCCAACGAAGTCAGAGGAGCAGGCATACGCAAGATTCGTATGGGAGAGTTTGAGGGCACAAACAAGTGTAAAGGGTGAGTTGCGCTGCGAGTCTCTTCGTCGCGGCGAGCTCGCTCTGATGACGCTGCGCGATATGTACCCGCGCACAGCTTCGCCTTTGTCGACTTCCACACGGTCGCTCACGCCACGGCGACGCTCATCAGTCCTCGCATGCGCTACCTTGACGGTCGGGAAATCAAGCTAGAGTACGCCAGTGTGGACGCAGTGAGACGAGGCGCAGTCAAGAACCGCAACGCTGCCGGTGCTCACGAAGCGGGACACAGACCGCACGCAAAGGCACCGCACGGCTTCAGTCGTCGCAAGCCTCAGAGGGACGCTGAAAATCTCTACGATGGTGGTGCAGAACATGCAACTGCTGGGCCTGCACCCCTTCCCGGCTCTTTTGATCCTGAACAGCCACTTGCAAGGGCGCACAAGCCGACAAAGGAAGAGAGAGAAGCAAGAAGAGCTGCTCAAGGTCATTCGAAACGGCGCCAGGCGCCAGGCGCAGCTCTTGCCAGCGCGCAAAGAGAAAAGATCGGCATCGCTGCCGATGCCGTGCCTCAGGGCAAAAAGATTGTATTTTAGAAGCTGTGTCAAGTTGGGTCTTTTGTGCAGTCACTGGCGGAGCAGTCGTTTTGCAGCATGGAAATACATTTGACGTGCTTGGCAAGCCTCGAAGCCTGTCGCATTGTCGTGGCTTGAAGCCGTGAGTGGAGCACTCGTCCCTTGTGTGTGCGTGCGTCTGCCATTCGTGAAGGAAGATACACATCTGCTCTCGCGCCAGTAGCCCCATTCAGGGCATCATGACGCTTGAAGTTTTCAATATTCGTGCAACAAGACCCTGCGCCCAAGAATACGCAGCAGCACCCACGCCTGCTTCCCTTTCATGCAGCTGGCTGTGCGCCTAAACATGTAAAGGTATCTCGTCCCCTAGGCAAAATGAGTTGTATACAAGCGCAGAGTATATATATATGTGACAAGAAAGCTTGAGTATCTACGGCTATACCAGCACTTGCGTGGGCAAAAGAGGCTTTCGAGCCTTGCGAGGCACAAAACAACAAAAAATCTACGGCATCTAGGATTCTCGCGTGGTCCCCCACCGCAATACTGACTAGACCCTACGGGGCTTCGACTTAGGAGATCGGACGGGATCCTGTACTTTTCCCGTGGTATGGCCGTAGATGTTAGGCTGAGTGCGTTACAATTATATATACTCTTAATTTTGTCAAGGAGATGTCTTCAAATGTTCAGGCGCACAGCCAGCCGTGTGAAAGAGAGTGGTGCTGCACACCGTCTTGGGCGCACAGTTTTGAGTCTCGTGCAGCTCGCTTCGCTCGGTCGCACGTTGAGCGAAACAGTCATGCACGGAGTCTCTCCACTCACAGAGACTGTTATTCCAGCGATCGCGATGCTCACATTGTTCCGACTCCATGCGAGACCGCTGTTGAATCGTTCCGAACTCGGTCCGATGCGAGGGAAACCCCGCTATTCATCACTTAGACGCAGGAACGGCTCCGATCCGTCTCATTGCTTCGCGTGGCGAAAGACAA